AAGGACTTTGTCAGTCTGCGGCCTGCCAACCAGATCTGTCCCATAGGTAGCTTTCATAGCTGCGTGATGGTCATCATATCAGTTTACACTCCAAATGAGACTACACTTAGTGTGAATGTTTACCTGTTGGTAGGCAGATGTAATTCAATTATCAAAATGAGCTTAAGAGCAGCTGTCAGTCTCTTGGCCTGCGTCTGAAATGACTCGCATAAATATCAAATTATTTCACGTTTAATGAAATCGCATTCTGGCCCCTTTATCCTGCCCTGCAGATGGAAATATTGAAGTGAATCTGGATATGGGACCAAGTTACCTGATCTGTTAAAACTAAATATTAAATAGAATTTTAGACAACTATTCATTTTACAATCACTTTTTCACCCTGCTGACAGTTGTATTCAAATGTAACATTTGTTTAATTGTTTCTTTTTATGAAATAAAGGACCAACGTGCCTTAAAGCAAAACATTTTGCTTCTTCCCTTTCATGACAGAGCTTTAAATTAAGATTGATTTACGAGTTTTAGCATTTTTGGTCAAATCTCACGAAGAACGTTATGCAAAATCACTATCAGGAGAGCTCGCACTCAATCATTCATTCAACCTTTATTTAAACAGATAAGTCACATTGAGCCTCAACCATCCAACCAAACAACCACCAACAACTACCACACACAGTTTTAGTTCAATGTCTGCAAAACTGACCGAGTTAACTAAGTTTCATTAGCTTTGGTGGCCATCTTGAATCAGACTGACTTCAAAAGTTAATCATTTGTACACGTACATCCATTCATTACTTTGTGTGAGTTTGATTAAAACCTGTTTGCTGATTAATGAGATATTTTGCTAACAGACAGACAAGGTTGACTCTAACAGTTAATATCAAAGATTTAGGCAAATCTCCCACACACTTTGTTAGCACTTGGTGTTGGAGATGACTGTTAACGACTACACCAAACATCAAAAGAGTTAATTAGCAGCATCAAAATAAGATGGAAAACAGATGGAACTGGTTTCAGATTAAATTAAGATGAGTTCTGCTTTAATGTATTTGGTTAATTCCTTTAAGATAATTTCCTTTACAAAAGTGTTTTGATGTTGAGTTATTGTTTGTTGTCAGGTATAAATCGTAAAGGATTTAACATAATAACATAAATAATAATAATAAGCCTAAGGCCTGCACAATATATGCCAGTCTTCTCCGAGGTGCAAATTTAACTAATGTTTCAACAAAAACAGATCAAGTGATGACTGATGGTGAGCAAAGAGTCAAATGTTGGTACATTAAATGGTTTGTAGAAGCCAGGCTAACTTTAAGTTGAAACAGGAAGTAGCTGCTGCAGAATCAACCTATCAAGATAAACAAAGTCCATCCTGAGTGATACCATGGAAACATCCTCTGCAGTTTTCTGGACTGTGGAGGGCCGAAACGAACAGGAGCCAATCGCAAAAGAAAGCTGTATGTGTGTGAGAGTCAATAATGGGCATCTTTAGTCACATGAATTCACCCTCCCTGACTCCCCCTCAGACGCCCCCCCCCCCCCCCCCCCCCCCCCCCCCCCCCACCCCCCCCCCCACCCCCCCCCCCCGACGCACCCCCCCCCCCCCCCCCACACACACACACACACTAAGCTGACACTGCGCATTTACACGTTAGCTGCTTTTACCTCTAATAGGATCAGCGGGACTTAACTTTGTCATCTGGTAAAGCTAAGCAGCTTGACAACTACACTGCTCCTTCTTAGCTAATTTATGCTCAATTACGATAACGAAGAAACTTTGCAAGGACAGAAACTATTCAGAAAAATCATGAAGCGTCATTCTTACCTGCAAGCTTGTCGAAAGAGCAAGTGGTTTTGCTTTAAACACAGGTGACTGATTGAGATGATTTACTGAAAGATTGATTGACTCCACTTTTGCTTCTAACAAGTAAACACAATGATTTTTGTTTTAAAATCCTCATTAAATATATTTTTAGGTATCTGGCCACCTCCAGGGACTAAAGAAGTCTAAATTAACTTTTTTCTCCTCCGCTCATCATGTATTTTATTGGACTTTTTTCCTTAAAACTTTGCTGAGACTCGCATCAAATAGACTCTCAATTTTTGCACAGATAAAATGAACTCACACAAAATATTTGTGCATGATGTGCAGCAAAGTTGGTCCCCAATAATTCAAAATCAGACAAATCTAAAACCTCTGGTCTTCACCGAATCAGTTTGAACCTCCTGGTTCATGCTAGAAATCTTAGCAATGTTTTTTTTTTAACTAACACGACTGTGTGTCCGTCCGTCCGTCCGTCCGTCCGTCCGTCCGTCCGTCCGTCCGTCCGTCCGTCCGTCCGTCCGTCCGTCCGTCCGTCCGTCCGTCCGTCCGTCCGTCCGTCCGTCCTCTTTTACCTTTTCCTTTCCGTGTGGCAAGGGGCTACAGCCTATCTCCAGCAGTCACTGTGCAACAGACAGGGCACAGGTCCATCACAGAGTCACATACAAGCATTCATTCTCTCACTCACACCTAGGAATAATTCAGACTTGCCATTTAATCCAACATGCATGATTTTGTTCTGTGGGAGGAAATGTAGTGCTCTGAATTAAACCCCATGTGCTCGGGAAGAACATGTAAACTCCACAGAAAGAAGGCCTACAGTGCAACTCTAACCCATGACCTGCATGGACAGTTTGCATGTTCTCTTTGTGCAAGAATGGGTTTTCTTGATGCATTCTGGTTTCCTTCCACAGTCCAGATACCTTCATGTAAGGTTAATTAGTGACTCTATAATCAGCTTTGGAGTGAAAGTGTGCGAGTGTCAGTTTTGATGGATGCTTTGTTTTTAGGTAACATTTTGTTTTGAGCGGTAAGTTACAGGAAATCATCTGCAATGTCTGTGGAGCAGCTCACCTCCCGGTCTTGCTGCAGACCAATTTATCTCTGAGTGTCCTCAGAGTCCTTCAGCCAACTCTTCACTGGGTCTCATGTTGAGCAAGTCCACACTTCTACATGTGATGAAGATCCATGACAAGTTGGAAGGTTGTTCCAAACAGAGTCCATATTGGATGAGCTGACAAACCAGGCCTGCTGTGGGCAAAGAGAAGAACCAACCCGAACACGCTGCAGGTAAAAAAAAACCTAAATGACAAACTAAATATTTACATATTTATTTAATACAGCAGTGGTGGGATGCATCACAAACAATGATGAGTCCAGCTACAGGCAGGAGGTGGAACACCTGGAGAGCTGGTGCAAAGAGAATAACCTTCACATCAATGTGAAGAAGACAAAGGAGATGATTGTGGACTTCAGAAGGAACAACATAAGAGGATCTGCAGTGGAAGTGGTCTCCAGCTACAAGTACTTGGGTGTGCACCTGAATGAAAACTTCAACTGGGGCAACAACACCACCAGCCTGATCAAGAAAGCTCATCAGACTCTACTTCCTCAGGCGGCTGAGGCGAGCTGGTCTGGGAAGCTCAGTCCTCACCTCCTTCTACAGGTGTGCAGTGGAGAGCATCCTGTGCTCCAGCATCAACATGTGGCATGGAGGCTGCACAGCTGCAGAAAGAAAAGCTTTGCAGAGAGTGGTGAAGGCTGCACAGAAGACTGTTGGAGTCAGACTCCCCACCATCACAGACATTTACACCTCCAGATGCAGGAAGAGAGCCACCTGCATCATGAAGGACCCCACTCACCCAGCACACACACTTTTTGCCCCACTCTCCTCAGGAAGGAGATTAAGGAGCATTAAGTGTAGAACCACTAGACTGAGGAACAGCTTCTACCCTGAGGCTGTTAGACTCATGAATCTCTAACCAGAACAATTACTGTGGGAAAAAAAAGCACATCATGTTGCTGCTGATCTGTTTCAATGTTGCTGCTGATCTGTTTCATGATGATGTGTTCATGCGTGCTCATCTGCTCACACAGACTCATGTTCGTGCTGCTGTTCGACGTAATGTTTTTATGCTACCAGTGCTTAGTGTATATTTAGTTTATGTTTTTCTTAGTTCATATCTTAGATGTTATTACTGTTTTTTTTTTTTTTTTTTTTACATTTTATTGTTGGATGTAACTGGGACCCTGTGTAGTGTACACAAATTTGTTCCACCACATGTACCACATGGGGTGCGAATGACAAATACCTTGAACCCTTGAGATATTTTATATAAAAGGCTAAAATGTATAGTATATATTTAAAAAAATAATTATTTTGGCTGTCAACTTTTCATTTTATTCATTTCAAACTGACTAAACACATTTATGAAACATTAGCTTTTATTTAAACTTATTATTATTGTTGTGTTATTTAAGTCTTGTTTAAAAACTCACTTTTATTCACCAGATTTTGACCTTGTATGAGTTGATTTTAAGTTCTGTGCCTTTAATAATTTTAGTAATTTAGTTCTTATCTTTACCTCTGTGGATCTATGTATTTTATGTCCTTTGCCTGTTTGATTTTGCTGTACAGCACTTTGGTTGGCCTTGTTGCTCTTTTTAAGTGTTTTATAAATAAAGTGGTATGGTATGTTTAGTTTTTCTTAAAAAAAATCAATTCAATTCAATTTTCAGATAAAATTTTTAGTTTGAACTCCATTAGCCTGTTTATTTGTTCTTTTGTTTTGATCATAAGTTACTATAATTTGAGCAGAAACCTCCTGCCCATCACTCTTAAAGAGGACGGGCTTCGATCAACAACTAATCCTCTCGTTTCACCTCCTCTTCAGCTTTGTCCTCCTCCCTCCCTCTCAGTCTCTGCTTTCCCTCTCACCTCTCGGAGCAGGAGTGGATGCTGCTGGACGCTCGCTGGGAGCGCGGGCTGTTTGTGTATTTGGGGACACTTTCTTGGAGAGCTTCTCTCAGGGCTGCTTGTGAGAAACAAAAATCATTTAAAGGAATGCGAAGTGGAAAGCGAGGCAGAGTGAGAGACTGCAGGCGGAGCACAAATCTGACGTGGGAAAAGTAAAGTTGGAGGTTGAGCTGGTGAAGAGGAGCAGGACGAGTTGAACTTCAGCAGGTTACATTCACTTACAGGAGGTAAACTGCAGCACAGAAACTAAACATGATTAACAAACAGATTTAACTCTGGTGCTTTGCAGGAAAATTAACATAATTATTTAAAAAAATTCTCATTCCTTACATATTTACTGTCCAACCCATAGTTTATCAAGTGTTTATCAAACTTTAAATATGTGAGAACATCAGATGACAGCAGTCATTACATGTGAAGCTCCTAACATTTGACAAAGTCTTTTAAAGGATACTCAAATGAAATGTTTATGACAGAGGGATTTAATTTTATTTTTTGTTTGAGCAAGCCATACAAGTTGAATTCATTAAAAGAAGTGCAGCAGTGACAGCCATTCAGAGCCCCAAATTATATATTTTGTTTGTTTTCTGCATGTATGAAGTAGGTTTTCTGATGTTAAATAGGTTTAAATGTGTGAATAGGCAAAAAAAAAAACCAGGCAACAAGTATGACAAGGTGAGCTGTGACCTTTAGCCCACCACTCCGTCCCTCTGTCCACAGGCCCGGACGCTGTTCGAATGCATTTATCACTGGACACCATGAGCATGGTGGACGACAGCTGCCTCTCGCCCAGCAACTTCCACGAAATGGGAAAAAGTGGGAGCGTCGCAGTCGGAGGCCGCGTCCACAGCATCGACGTCATCTTGGGTTTCAGCAAAGACCAGGACCCCTTGTTGAGTACGTCTGAGGCTGTGGGGCCCCACAAAGTGACCATCAATGGGCTTACAGAACACGACAAGCAGCGGGAGACCTCGTCCCACCCGTCCTTCAGCGGACACCTGTCCTCCATGAGAAGCAGCAGCTCGCAGCAGCAGCAGTACCACGGTGAGCGAAGCGAATCTGTTTCACACCAGAAGGTGCTTTTTAATTCTGCAGGACTGTGGTCAGAATTAATCCATTGCTTTTCAGTTTGTTTACAAAGGATCAAATTTATTAATAAAGAGTTGATTGTCTTGGAGGACGGGACAGGCGCGACGTTGAAGATCTAATTTTTATTTTTATTTTGCACATACAAGACTGATACCTCTAAAGAAACTTAAATATGATAAATAATAATAAATATTAAAATTATGTCGATCATCTTTCCTTTCACAGTCCAGTTAAAAGTCACACAACAACAATAATAAAATCAAACTCTCCATACAATGAAATAAAAATCAAAATAAATAAATAAATGAAAACACACTCATACAGCTTTATCCAGAGCTGCTGTGTAATTTTGTCTTTTGAAATTATTACAAAGTAGTAAAAAGTAACACATAGAAGAGGCACTGAGCTTTAATTGAATTTGTGGTGAAATAAACAGGTGTAAAAATGCTATAAACTAAATCATGCAACTTAAAATGAGTACAAATTAGAATGTTAATAAATCATCAAACATTAAATTAGTTTTTACACTGTCTAAGACAGTGCAAAATGTGCATTTTGTTATTATTATTATTATTATTATTATTATTATTATTATTATTATTATTATTATTGTTATCATTAATGACAAAATGGTAAATGGACTGTACTTATATAGTGCCTTTGTATCTAATCAGAATCCTGAAAGCTCTTTACAACAGTCTGTGTCCTCATTCACCTCCACACACACATTCATACATCACTCTACTACATCTCTACAAATCTAATCTGAATCTGTACAGACTAATCAGTGCTTTAGATCACATTCATACACCGATGGGACACACATCAGAAGAAAAGGGACACTTCAACATGTGACTGCTGGTGGAATTGAACCCCCAACTCTCCCACTGGAGGACGACTGCTCTAACCACTCAGCCACAGCTGCCCCAAAAGCAAATCATAGACTGATTCAGGATCAGTGAACTGTTGCCATGTAGAGCCTGTTCCTGTTGCATTAACTGAGAAGCATGTGTGTGTGTGTGCGTGTGTGTGAAAGAGAGAGAGAGAGAGAGAGAGAGAGAGAGAGAGAGAGAGAGAGAGAGAGAGATGATGTGTCCAAGACCAATCCCATCTCCTTGTGGACTTCCCCCTAATCTTCTCTTCAACACAGATTAGATTGTACAGTCGTTCATTCGGGTGTTATTGTTATCAGTCAGGGTTTAATCTGAAGCTATCTTCACATGCAGGATCAGGCAGGTGGTCGGTGATTTTTATGGCAGAAACAAATAAAAGAGAAGTTACAGTTTCATCTTCTGAAGATGGATCCAGAGATGTTTTTGTTAAATTAACGATCCTCAACTCCAATAACATCACCCTCTTCAAAACTGTGTTTCCTGTGAAGTCAGTCCAGATCCTCCCGAATGAGCTGCTTTTCAGCGCTCGGTGTCACTCGTCCCTCGTCTTCTCTGTGCTCAGTTATTGTCCTGCTTGAGAAACAGTGAAACAGTGGGGAGGCTTCAGACCAGTGGCCGTGATGGGCTGACAGGCCAAGAGCTGGTCACTGAACCACACCTGACCTCTGCCTTTGTCAGTGCCCAGCCTTTGTCAATGCTCCTTAATGAGAGGTGGATAAATTAACCCCCTTAAATCCTGAATTGCTGTGCTCTCCTGTTCTCGACTGCAAAAACCACTGAAATCGTTTTTGTTTTCGGCAAAACGTCCCAATAATTAAAATGAGCTGGGATTACAGGATTCAGATACAGATGTTTGTTTTGTTTAAGCTCTGAGAAGAGGGTGACATTTTTTAAATTTTGTCATCAGACTTGTACAGTGAGAAAGTCTATTTCTGAACTAAAATTAGTTCGGTTGAAAGGTTTCTTCCTGCATTTGTGGCCTTTATTTGATGTAAAACCAACAGATATTTGCCTGAGTCTGCAGATCTTCACAACTTTACATATTTCTTTAGCAAGTTACAGCTCATTGATTAGCCACCGCACTTGAAAAGCTACTTTTTACAATAAGCTTCACATGTTTATTTATTGAGACCGATTGAGACTTTAGTCCAATTGTTTGATTGGCTCGTGGTGTTTTTTTCTTCACTTCATGACAATTCTTGAATTTTACAGCAACTATTTGTGAACTGAATGCCTCACAAAGTATTACCGTAATTTACGGACTATAAGCCACATTTTTCCCCCACACACTTTGAACACAGCAGCTTTTACAATGCTGCAATGACTTTTTCTGTTAGGCTACTGCATTTTTATTTAATTTTTTAACCAGCTGTGTTACAGGCACTATTTAGAGAAAAAAAAAGCATTTACTGTACGTATTTGCGTATTAAAAGTTCAAACAATCTTTCTGTGTAAAACTCTCATGTTATAAGGTGGACACCTGTGGCTTATCAACAAGCAGCCTACAATTTTTTTCTTTTTAAAGTTAGTGGGCGCGGCTTATATTCAGGTGCATTCAATAGTCCGGAAATTATGGTACAGTAGTCCTACGCTACTACATGGTTCATTTATCACGGACTCGCTCTATCACGGATTTTCAAAATAAGATTGGACATGACACACAATTGGCTGACTGATGGATGAGCATGATCGGCATGCAATTTTCATTTAAAATAAATTATTTTAAATTATTTAGCACCTCCTGCACCTTTGTGCAGCCCTTACTGCAGGATAAACTTCCTGTGCAGTGTGGAGAAGTGGGCGTGGCCAAGCACCCTTGCAAAGTTGGCCAAAAAAGTAATAAAAACAGTTCGATTATAAGGCGAATGTAGAAAACTAAAAACAGGAACATGTCTGCATTGGTCCTTGCCAATAGTCAAACAGATTCTTAAAGCCACTTAGAGAGGTCAAGTTCGAGAGCTTCAGGTCTTTTTGTAAGATATTCCAGGAAACAGGAGCAGAGTAGGAGAAGGCCCTTTTGCCAAGTTCAGTCCGCACTGAGGGAACACTGCAGGTAATAATGTCCTGAGAGCGCATGCTGTAGCTGTAGCTGTGTATATATCTATAGCTACACTAAATAAAACTACTACTTACTACTTGTACTACTTACTATTCCTACTTCGCTGTTTTTCACTTATCGCGAGTCTTCAGGGTATGGCTCCCCCGTGATAAACGAGGGACTACTGTACTACTTATTTGCTGAACTTGCACATTTGACAAGAATGTATAATTAACCTTCATTCTGTGACTTGCACCAGGTTTAGTCTTGGCAGATATTAACTACCCTGTCGCTGCTTAGGAGCAACTGATCTGATTGGGGAGGTTCATCCTTGTACTTTCTTTAATTTAATTATGGTATTAATTATGGTTAGGCTAAATTGTTGAAACATTCCTGTTGTCACTGTGCTGCACCTTTTATTATTTTTAATGTGTTTTATTGTAATTGTTGAAGATGATGTGCAATGAAGAAGGAGTGAGGAAGGCTGAGAAACGATGGGGTCTGAGCAGGTTGTGAACCTTCACACCAGATTTGTGGGCATGCACAACTTATTTTGTGCTTTAAATTATACTAGAGTGAAAGAAAGAAACTATGGAAAATGTTTTCAAATGTATTTTAAGTGCTGTTTATATTTTAGAGAAAAAAAAAAAAAGAAGAAAAACTGGGGACAACTTTTCTGAATCTGAGGTCCACTGAGGCTCATCACTGACCTGTTGTTGGAGATATCAGATTGACGTCCACTCTGCTGGACAGTTAGCTGTTCAACCTCCACTTAAATATAGAAGAACTTTTCACTTCCTTTTTATATTGCAGCTCAGTGTTTCTGCTGATTATCCTATAAATATAACTAACACGCAAAGCAAGCCCACGTTCCTGATTCACTGATCTCATTACCTGAACAGACACGAGCTTGTTTGCAAACAAGAGTGATGAAGAACTCGGTGAGCTGGGGAAGAGTGCGGAGAGTGACGAAGACAAGTCCCTGGAGCTGTGCAAGGACGATCAGCCCAAGAAGAAGCACCGACGCAACCGCACCACCTTCACCACCTACCAGCTGCATGAGCTGGAGCGAGCCTTTGAGAAGTCCCACTACCCGGACGTGTACAGCCGAGAGGAGCTGGCCATGAAGGTGAACCTCCCTGAGGTCCGAGTGCAGGTGAGATGATCGAAGGCAAATGAATGAAGTCAATAAATTTTAAATGTGTTTTGTTAAAGCTGAAGGTTTACACTAAATGTGTTGCTGTTAACATCTCCTCATTTAAACCGTGTTTACCTCATCACCTCAGACAACCTGACCTAAATAGATTTGCTTCCAAACCAAGCCAAAGCCTTTTGGCTGTAGCACTGCCATGATGAGGTGAGCAGGTTGCATTAAATAACTAGGAAGCTTGTTAAGGAGTTCCAAGTGTTAGGACGTGTCCATAGTGTAGACAGAGCAGAGGTTAAAGAAACAGGATCAAGTTCAGGACCAGATGAGTTTCGTCTCCGTAAGATGTGGTGCTGCTGTCAAACATCGCTCGTCTCCTGTTGAGTTGTGTCTTCAGATATAGGTGAGCAATTTATTCATGTTATTCACACTAAAATTAACAATTAGGGATGCAGTGTCATCAACACATTTTGTGAAATGCAAATGCTCTGTTACGTTCTGTTTAGCACAGTTTTGGTTGGTAGAACAAGAGACAATCTGTTTTAGTCCCATCCTGACCTCTGATACGACAGTTTTAGTTTGAGACATCATCATTTATCTGCTTTTTGTGCATTTTGATGATATTTAATGCATTACAAGAAATTGAATACAGTATTGAATGTAAATTATCAGCCATAATTTACACAAGATGACGTGGAAAACACTGATTATTTTTGGTAAAATGACACATGGTAGTTGGTGAGACATAATGAACAGCAAATGAACATTCAGTCCCTGAAATTGATGAGTTTGAGAAAGCAAAATGCAGATTAATGTGAACATTTCAACAATGGCCTTAGTAGGATTGTGGTCAAAGCATCTACATGACTGCAGCCCTTGAACGTTTTCTGGTCTAAGTACATGTGTCTGAAATCTGTTGGATGTTTTCCTGAGACCTGATCATGTCCTAAAATGAACACCACACTGCAGTTGTCAAAACTAACATGAAGTGAAGTGATCCAAAGGCCGACAGCCTGGAAAGGCTTGAGCAAGAAAAAGAAAAGACTGGCCGATCTTTGATCCAACAGGAGACTACTGCAGCTCAGATAGTTGGGAAAAGTTGGCGCTGGTTTTAAAAATACACACATCACTTCCCTTTTTGTTGTGTGTGGGACAGTGTAGCTGCAGACTGGTCAAGCTGACCCATGTCCACTAAAGAAAAATGAATTTAATGAGTCCTGGCAGTTCTGGACCCCAGAGTAATGAGACTTGGCCTTGTCTGCTGATTCACTTTCTCTTGGTTCATGAACCAGATTGCTGGGTCCAGATACCTCACTGGACATGGCTCCTGGGTGCACTGTGAATAGGAACAAAACCTGTGGGGGTGTGCGAGACTTTCTGCTGAGAAACATATTCTGCTGTAATGTGGCTCTCAATGTGACATATGCCAGCTAACTAAGCATATTTGCCAATGATGTACCACTTCTTGGAAACAGTCCTCACTAAATGCAGTGATTTTTATGAACAGAGACACAAAAACATTTCAAGAGTTTAACTAATTTAAGTCAGGTCCTCTGGACGGATAAAAAAAAAAAAAAGTTTAAACGTTTCATTTTTAATCCCAAAGACTTTGTTAGTCTGAGGAGCTGCACTAAACTCAGTCTTATAAATAGCACCTAGCATAGTGAATCAACCAGTTTGCTGGTTGCCGGCACAAACAGTAATATTGTGAATGCTGTCCAGTGCCAGGAGGGCAGTTATCAGTCAAACATCAGGGAAACTAAACAGCCACTGGCCTAAAGGATGGCCCAGCACAGAAGATCAACATCATCAGGCCAGGACTCTGTGGTCTACACTCATCTCCATCCAGGACAGTGGTCATTCATTCAAGAATGAAGATGTTCACATCATTGATAGAGAGGAACGTTGGTTTGAGAAAGGAGTAAAGGAGGCCATCTTTGTGAAAAGAAACAGTCCATCATTAAACAGGGGTGGAGGCCTCCGTGTTCAACTGTCCCTCTCTTACAATGCTGTTATTGCTAGTATCACTGTGAATAGCAAACAGCCATCAGGGCGCTAACGATCAGTTGTTAGGCTGATGGTCCTCCTATATCATGTGAACACATAGCTTTGGCTGTCACCAGAAAACTGGTTGATCCACTGTGATAAGACTACGTTTAGTGCAGTTTTTTTAAAATCAGCTTATATGTCTCTAGAAAGCACAAAGTCGTGTAAAAATAAAAATAAATAAATGTGAATGTTGAGTGCTGAACCCACTTATTAATTTTATTCAGTTTATTTATTCAGGGCTGAATATGTTCCAATTTATCATTTTCAACTAAAATTAGTCATCTTAAAAGTAAAATACTTGTTTATTTTGGTGAAGTAGATTAGTAATATACTTGTAAATTAGTTACAGAAGTAGAGGGAGTTTATCATAATTTTAACTTGCTGTAACAATTGCTAATGTGTCTGTTTGTTTGCCTGAAGCAGTTATATTTTACATTGCATGTCTTCTAAAACATTATAATTATATTTAACAGGATGAGCAATTGAGATGTGGAATTATCTTGTTCTGATTTTTATGAATTTAACAACTCAAAGTCTCAAATTTTCTATTGAAAAATTACGATGCCTAAAGTATTTTTTTCATGCAATTTCAGTTAAAAAAAGCTCAATTATTAGCCTATTATTACCCATGTCCTAATTATATTAAAATATATTAAATTTATTTTAACTTTCTTCCAGGTCTGGTTTCAGAACCGCAGAGCTAAATGGCGCCGGCAGGAAAAAATGGATGCAAGCACCATGAAGCTTCATGACTCCCCCATGCTTTCCTTCAGTCGTTCAGCTCCAGTTCACACCAACATGGGTCCAATAGCCAACTCCCTCCCTTTGGACCCCTGGCTGGCCTCCCCCCTGTCCAGTGCTACACCTGTCCAATGTATCCCAGGCTTCATGGGTCCAGCTCAGGGCCACCAGCCCAGCTATCCCAGCCACGGATTTCTAAACAGCACTCCCCATGCTCCTCACCCTCACTCTCACCCTCACCTCCCCACGGGACATGGGATGCAGAGCATGGCTCCTCCTCCTTATCAGTGTCCAGCACCGTACCCCGACAAGTTCCCTCTGGAGGATGTGGACCAGCGCAGCTCCAGCATTGCAGCGCTGAGAATGAAAGCCAAGGAACACATTCAGTCTATGGACAAGACCTGGCAACCCATGTGACCAACAGATCTGTTTGTCCTCATGAGGAAAGGGAGATGCTGAAATAAAATAATATAGTTCAAAGACAAGCAGTCACATCTGCTGCTCACGAAACACAAGATGTGGACTCTGAACTGTGAAAACCAAGACTGTTTTTTTCTGTTGTTCATCTCAAGGACACTAAAGCATAAGCGGGTGTGAGGTTATGGTTTTTAACTGCCGATTGTTTGATTTTTGTGGATGTTTTATGTTTAGCTGCTGTAAACACAGAAACGGTGACCACTGCTCTCATCATAACCAGCATCCAAGGAGCATAATGTTTGTACAACTGCAGTTCTGAACAAAATGGGCAAGTTGTTTAAAATGTAAAACAAACAAAAGACAAATAACGACTTTCAAATCTCATAAACCATATTTTATTCACAATAGAACACAGTAAACATATCAAACGTTCAAACTAAGCCATACTGATTTTAAGTAAAAATTGTCATTTTGAATTTTACCACAGCGTCTCGCCTCAAAAAATATGGAACAATGGTAACAAAATGCTGTGAAAGCAAGCAGTATAAATAAGAAACATCTGGAGGAGCATTTGCAACTAATTTGGTTGTTTGATGACGTCAGATGAATCCCTCAGAAGTGCAGATGTGCAGAAGTTCACTAGTCTGCAAAAAATGAACTTAATAATAATAATAATAATAATAATAATTTCAGAATAATGGTTCCCTAAAGAAAAATGTGAAGATTTTGAATCATCATCTACAGTTAATATCTTCAAAAGATTTTAGAAATCTGAATAAATCTCGGTACAAAAAAAAAAAAAAGTCCAAACATCAGTGTTGGATGATCATGATCATTGGGTCTTAAGACTGCATTAAATACAGGTCAGATTTGGTTCAGGACATCACTGCACAGCTCAGGAATACTTCCACAAAACATGGTCTGTAAACAGTTTATTCTGCTATCCACACATGATTGTTAAAGCTCTATCATGCAGACATATATTAAATGCATCCAGAAAGGCTTCTCTGCACCAACGCTTGTTTAAAATACACTGTGTTCAAGTGGAAAACAGATCTGTGGTCAGACAAATTGAAATTTAAAACTCTTTATGAACACTACGTCTTCCATACTAAAAAGGAAAGGGGCCATCCAGCTTGTCATCATTTCAAAACCCTTCCTCTCTGATGGTATGGAGGTGCATTAGCGCCTCTGGCATGGGCGACTTAGACTTTTGGTACCATCAACTCGTCAAACTATATGCAGGTTTTAGAACACCATATGTTTCAATCCAAGTAAAGTATATTTTTATAGAAGGTATTGCAGATTTCAGTAAGACTGACTCCAGTCTGCACCTGTTATACCAGCATGACCTTGTAGTAGAAGAGTTCTTCTGCTAACCTGCATGCAGTCCAAACTTCTTAATAAATGAAAACAATGAATGCATCATCAAACAAAAGTCCAGCAAAGAAGACCTAGGACCGTTGAACAGCTTCAATCCAACATCAGACAAGACTGGGAAGATGTTTCCCTCCAAAACTTCAGAAACTGGCCTCAGTTCCTAAATGGTTACAGAATGGTGTAAAAAAAAAGAGAAGGAACACGGACCCGTCACATCTTGAGATGAGATGCTGCCATTAAACGCCAAATTAACCTTTTTTTGTTTTTATGTACTATTTATTAGTTTAAACATATAAAATGTTTTCTGTGTTCCATTGAAAAGAAAATTGGGTTTATGTAATTTATGCATCAATGCATCCCGTTGTTATTTATGTTTTATACAACGTCCAAGCTTTGAGGTTGAACTTGTGTCCTTCTAAAACGCTCCTCAACTGTTTTTATTTATTATAATTTTACAGATTTTTACCTGTTCAGTTCTGATTTTCGCTGCACATAAAGACAAACCGGTTTTAAGCTAACTTCTTTTGTGCAGCACGTGCACAATGTACATCTGCGCTGAAGATTTTGCATATTTGGGTCCAGATCTGTGTTACATGAACAATCACAGGAGGTAAAAACAAAAACCTCAAACTAATTTTAAACCGTGTGTTAAGTGCTACAGTCAGAGAAGTGCTTTTTTGTTGTTGTTGGATGAAGGCTGAGAATAAACCAAACATAAATACTTTCTCAAATTCTGCTTTAAGTATTGGCGGATGCGAGGAAACCGAGACTCTCTTTTTGCTTGAGTGGCAGTTGGAGGAGAAAACCTGTTGGCATCTGAGCGCTGGTTGTACGTGCAGAGCAGAGCCCCGTGTGATGCGTCACCCCCACATAGTTTGGTCATTGTTTGGCACAATTGATCCAAGTGCATCCCTTTTGTCTGAAACTCGGGGGGGGGGGGCAAACGGTCTCAGGCGGCACTAAATAGGTCCATGTTGTTGTAACTCAAACATCAAAAAACATGGATTGTATCTGCAGCCAATAGTGACTTGTCTGGGTCTTTCACCATCTGTTATAGCATGGATTATTTTAAAGGTAGAAAAGATTTGGCCAAAGCTCATTACAGGCCTTGGATAATAAAACATCTGAGAAAACTGAATATGTACAAGCGGAAGGGTCATAAGACTATCTTATTTTTACTTGATAATGGAAAAAGAGGGAGAACAAGTCCATCATTTTAAAGTGCAATCTCAAAATCTTTGATTATTGTGTCATTTTTTTTTAATGAAACTTTTGCTTTTTCTAATCTTAAAATGAGCTTAACATAAATCTTGAGGTACTTCTTGTTAATTTTATAGTTCGGTGAAAATAAAACATGTCACTACTGCTGCTCCTTAGTTTCATAACGATTTCTGTTGGTGAACATTTTTAGAAGCCATTGAAGGACTCTGGATTACATTAAAACGTTTTTAAGACACAACTCTGATGTGATTTTGGACCAAGATTAAGCCAAAGGTCATAGATGATGATGGAGAATGTTGCACTAGAGCTGTTTTAGGTTTCTGTGTGTATTTTATTGTGAACTTGTCTTCCATGCCCTAGTCATGTCTGTCTTCGTGATATTGTTTAATTTTGACTTTGTCAGAATCATTAATGTACAGGTTTTGGTAAGAATTAATGAAATAAATATAGTTTATTAAAGATGTTTGTATCCTCTTTCTTTCATGAATGAGCTTTCATGTTGACCCCTCCACTCATTCCCACACAGCTCTGAGACTCAGGAGCAATCCAAGATTACTACGGTTTAATCGTTATCATCTGACATACATTCTTTCTTTCCAGCTTCTGCTCCTTGTTCTTCTCTTGTCTTTTATTCCTCACTTTGCTCTTTTTTGTTTTCCGTTTGGTGGCCGGGTGCCAGCCTGTTAGGAAGATGAGACTCCAATCAATCAGGGCCTCCCAGGGGGGCCTCCAAACACAGGACCCCAGATCTTTAATTGCCCCTGGGCAGGCAGATCTGCAGGCAGGCCGAGCCACTGCAACACATGTTCACAGAGCGAGCGGCGCCGACATGCTCCCCGGCCTCCTCTGCATGTGAATCTCTCCGGGACAGATGGAGGCCTGAACAGACTGAACTTCGAGGACCATATGGATAAGCCAGTGGGAGCAACAAGGTCAATGTTTATATGATTTTTGACATGTTGTAAAGCGATTAGATGCTGCTTCACGCAGTGTTTATTTGATGCTTAAAGGTGCTGAGCTCTGTGACCCGGATGAGAGTCGGAACACAAACGAAAACAACAAATTATGACAAATTTCTATGCTGCTTGACAACAACTACTCTAAATCTGAAAGTTTATTTTCTGTTTTTATATAACTGTTTTTGTAACTCTAACCCTAACTCAGTAATTCTATTGAAAAATACCCACACACACACATATACATACACACACACGCCTTTTGGTATCAACAAGTACAGATTGAACTAAGTCAGAGAATGTATTTGAGTTTTTTGTGTACGGGACATGAACTAACAGGGAGCTGCTGGTGTGTGTCCCACCTGATGACAAGATCACCAGTAAACTGGAACGACGGAAGAAAATAACAACTCCATAAAAGGACTTCCAGGAAATGAAGACATCAGTTTGAACTAGTTTAGACAAAGAACTGTAAGAATGTGTGACACGTCTCTGGGTGGAGCTTTTGTGTTTAAATACAGAAGAAGCTGAAAGCTCCGGTCAGACGCATCTTGGCTTTTTGTTGTATCTCTGTTGATTTGGGGTAAGAGTGTCTCCTTTCAGCTGAAAGCTTTAATAAATGTTGGTAATACTTTTTAACTTGAATCTCTCTGACTGATTATTGTGTCTTTTCTCCATGTATCTCCGAACCAATGAGAGGAACAGGTGAATAGGCTGAAAAGTCTGAGTTGTTGTGTTGATTTTCCTCGACATTTGTCTCCATCATCACCAATGGAAATCCTTCACAAGTCAAGATTCCAGCTCCTCCAACATTGTCTGCATAGCTACCATTAGTAATCAGTACACCTGTTTCCTCTCTCAGTACCAGTATATACAGTATATTCCCTGTTTTTTTCTGAGCTGTCAGATCCTGCTTTTAGTTCAGCTAATGCCAGAGTTTTACACTTGCCTTAATTTATACATCTGAGATCATTAAAAGTTCATGTTTTGATCTTGAATCTGTCACTTGATCTTCTGCATTTGAGTCCTACACCTCCACACAACCTGCATTTGTGACATTTCTTGTCTTTTATCTAATACATGTCAATCTTGTGAAAAATGAGTGACAATTTTATCTTTTGAAGCCAACAATTTATTTACCTATTTTTTCTTGGCAAGGGACAAGGTGCCTATCTCTAGCAGTCCCTGTATGAAAGGTAAGCGACACCTGAACAGGTCACAAGTTCATTCCAGGGCCACATAAAGACAAACAAGACAAACAACCATTCGTGCTCTACACAGAGAGCGTTACCAATTAAGTATACATGCATATTTTCGTTTTCATGATTCTTTTGCTAAATTTCTAAAGAGATGCTAGACAGCAGTGGGGGGAAAAGCTCTTTTAACAGAAAATAATAAAAGCAACTAAGACTCTGAGGAAGTCTCAGTGGGAGAAAGCAAAAACATTAAGGAGAAAAACAAAGCAAAGAGGAGAGGAAGACAGAAGTAGGGAAGGTGGGTTTTATGGCTCATCCGGGTTAATGATGTAGAAAATCCCCCAATTAGAGCATTTTCCTGTGTTTTGAAGGAGTTCAGAGAAGGGTCCTCTGACAGTCCAGGGATTAGTACCTGGG